TGTGTGTGTGTGTGTTTTCATCTCTCTCGTGTCTAGACCAAACTGAACAAATATTTATAGACAGACAAGCAACATCATAATTAAACAGGCTTTTATTTTTTAAATTTATTTTATTTTGAAAATTGGCCGGATTCTCTCGTCTTTTCTGTGTCCGACTTCCAGTTTGGTATGATCCGCTTTATCCAGCTTGACAGAGGCGCTCACGGCTCGTGTGAAAAATAGACCAGATGCCGAACTGAAGCGCTGCAGTGCGCGAGCCTCCGCGGGCGCTCCGCTCTGCTCACCGGCCTGTGTAGACAGTCAGATAGGTTAACATGGACGCCGACTGAAAACTGCCTCCGCTGCTGGGCGCTGCGCTTCGGTTCTGCTTCCGGTGTGTCCGTGGCATGACTGAATGAGAGACTGTGAAAACTTAAGGCCCGTTCTATTCTGCCTCTGATTGGCTAGAAGTCCTTGTTTACCTTGAGTAATGTGATACACCATTGGTAATTGGAACTATCACTTTGCTTTGCTTTAAAACGACTGGTTAAATCACTGTTGCTACGGCAAGATGATAAAATATTCACGAGAAAAAAATATTCCTGCACCAGAATATCCCTGCGCCGGAAATCCGGCACCGTGCCGGAGAACTTCAAGCCCTGGTAAACATAACATTTTAATACATTCAACACATATTGTATGCATTTAAACAGTGCAAATTCTTATGTCAATACAGAGCATTTCTCCATACTGCAATGCCATTAGCGCGATTTGATGATGCGTCTGATGACGTTTCAAATGACTTTTGAAAAATTGCAAGCCCCTGCAGATATTGCAGTCTTTCGTTGAATTTGTGTTAATTATTGCGATCGCAAGAACGCGATTTTCTGGAGGGACTGGTAAATGTAAACTTACACTTTAAGTTTTCGGTATGTCTCTGTCAATGCACACATGCTGTATGATATCAGATTTGTATTGAAATGCACTTGTACATCTACCTAAGAACCACTGAGGCTCACTGAATTTGTTTTATTATTCATCAGTCGTCATCCTTTTTGAATTTCGAATTCAATACCCGAATCATCCTTTTACACAGAAACAGAATATCCACAAAAACATTGTGACTAAGATACTGAGTGTGATATTTTATAGTTAAAAAACAAAAAACAAAAACCAGCTTTCTTTGGTGGTACACATATTCAGCCGAAACATTGTTTGTAAATTTTGTGTTCTGTGCTGCAGTTTCTTGTTACTTGTCGACCAACTTATACACCGATACAAAAGTATCTGCAACAAGCTAATATGGGTCAATATATCAGTATAGCTGATTAATCTGCTGAGTTATAAATACACCATTATTATCAGGTCAAACAAATCATTTCCGATTCATTCAGCCCTGGATTTCACAGGCTTGTTTTGTTGTGAGCTTGCCATGACTGGATTGGTGAGCTTGCCATGACTGGATTGGTAAATATTTACAAGTAAGATACACCTACATTTGTTTGATTAACTACTATTTGGCATATGAAAAAAACTAACTTTGTAATAATGTTTGAGAAGTGTTTATATGATTCATACATTCACATGGACAGCTTGACTCTAAGTCAGAAGTTTTTGGTCCTGAAAGCAGAGTCATGGACTACAGAAGAGAAACCTTTTTCCAGCTCCATTCAATATGTACAATTTCATGTGTTCACAATCAAACAAAATGTGCAGTTGTCATGATATATACACACTTCTTATGACTTTAACACATACAGCATTGCTGAGGATCTCCAGTCTCCTGGGTGAAGCGCTTGCCAGCACGACCAGTTTCCCGGTGAGCTTGGAGATGACAGGGTTGAGCACCATGGTGGCCTTCTGGTCTAACCGCCCCTACGGTGATGAGCAGAGTTAAACATTACAGATGTGGCCTAGTTCATGTCTCAGCCATAGGGAGTCAGATGACTGCAGCTGTCCAGTTGTGTCATTGAGGACAAGTCCATACAGTCCTGAAAAGATTAGGTCCTTAGTTGATAAGTTTTATGGGATGAAAGATTAATCTATAATAAAAATAGCAGTTAGTTGCAGCCAAGCCAATATTTCTCATAAATACATAAAAGAATAATGCATTAAACACAATGAGCTGCTGTGCTGTAAAGACACCTCCACCCACTCTAAGCATGAAATGAATGTTAGCCATTTAAATAAAGTTACAGGTTTTCCAAACGACTGTGACCCATGCCAATGTGTTTACTGTGCCTACACACTCAATGTAGCTTAAGCTAATCACGTCACGTAATAATAAATATAACATACGACATACCGTTACTTAGTTTACAACTCTGCTCTCCTAAAGTATAACTTGGTGTTAGCTAGCAGCTAATACGCTAACTTACAGCAAAGGTTGGTTCGCGAGCTCAGCTCCAACAAAAGTGACATGGTTAAAAGAACACATTAATTTAAGAGAAGCACGTTTAAAGGTCTGAGTGTTATCTTACTGTATATAATGCAGTGGACTGTTTCACCTACCTGCTCCTGCTTTCCTCAGCTCCAGTCAGGAAACTGCCACCTACTGCCGCCTGCTACAGGCTGGATAGGATAGGACGACCGGTGTGACGTCGCGTACGTGATGACGTTAATGACGTAGGCGGATGAGCGGATGATTCGCACACTGGCGGTCATAGATTTTTATTTTTGTTTGTTTGTTTTCTATTTTTATTTTTATATTTTTTTATTTATATTTTTAATTTATTTTTTTATTTATTTCTATTTTTATTTTAGTTTGAATTTAATTTATGTTTTTTAAATTTTTTTATTTCTATCTTTATTTTTATTTCTATTTTTTAATACATTTTATTGAACAAATTGCACATATCACTCATTTTGACAGTAACAGCAACCATGGTGCAAAATTCAAACAAACATGCCAGAGTATTTAGGTTGAATAAATAAAAAAAGAGAAAAAAAAAAAAAAAAAAAGAAACTAAAAAAAGACATTAAACACACTTTTTTGAAAATATAATATATATATATATATATGTATTTTTCTTACACAATACAACAAAAACAATACACACCACATGTACATACATACACACACAACACAGAGGGAGTGGCCCAGTTCCGTGTGCAAGGTACTAAGCCCCTGCCCGGCTGTGCGGCAGCAGGTCAGGGGCCCAGCCCTAACCCACCAGGACCAGGCATGGGACAGAGAGTGCAGAATAGTACAAATATACAACATGTTCACTACTGAAGACATAGAGAGGGAGTCAGCAGCCCTAAGGCCTGGTGGACACCTCTCGACCAGCTAGGTTCACAGCAAAAAAACAAAACATAGTTCAAAATTAAAGGTAGGAGAGGAGAGGGAGAACAAGCACAGATAATTCAAGGAGCTATACAATAGTATAAGTTAACAGTAAGAAGTTGCCGACATGGCCAAACACCAACACACATTGTGCATTGTGCATTTGTTTAGGGAATGTCACAACACGGTAAAACAAATACCCTTGGTTGGGAAGGGAACAACCACATCCCCCATCACCTGATAGGGACACCAAATCAAATAGCAAAGTATAAGCACAAGTTAATGTGTCAAGGTGATCAAGAAGGCCAGCTCTGTCCTGGGATGCTCTCTGGACTCTGTGCAGGTGGTGGGAGAATGGGCAATGCCACAGTAAATGCATAAGAGTACCAGTCATCCCACACCCATGCCAACACTTATCTGAAACATTGCTGTTCATTTTCTTGAGTTAGTGTGGAGTAATGTAGGATCTGAACAAAATCTTCATTTGTATAATTTTATACCTCACACATTTAGACAAATAATTTGGGTGACTCAAAATAGCTTCCCACTGGTCTGCTGTAAGATGTAAACCCAAATCTTTCCCCCATTGTGCTTTTATGGATACACTACATTTGGAAAAAATACAACATAATAATCTATAAATCTTGGCAACATTACTTCTGCCAGAGACTGCATCCTTTAATTTATCAACTAGTCCATACCCATTGAGTGCACAGTTGCCCACGTACAGTTTCACATGGTGTGTGTTTGGGATACAGGTCATAGGAAATTGCAGATTAAATAGTCAGCTGAACCCATTAAGAAGAGCAATGTATTCAGACAGAGTTTTTGTGAATTTGATAGTACGATTGAGGTAGCACGTTGAAAGGCAGATAGTTAAAGTGTTTATATGTTGTATTGACTTAAAAGTGGGGCGCACTGGTAGTTCACATGGGAAAGGTGCAGCTAGCCCTTGTTGCAGCAGCATACCATACCATGACTTAGTCATACCAAAAATTATAAAAAAACAAACATTGGGCCACAGGGGGAGCCACAGCGATGGTCGCATTTTAGCCATTTTTAAGCATTTTTCTGGTGTTATAGCACCACCCAGTTGCCAATTAGAGTTAAATTTCTCCAGTCACCTTGAGGCGTCCTGTTCTACATATCTACCAAGTTTAGTAAAAATCCATATGGCGGTTAGGCCTAGATAAGAAATTAGCTCTCTAGCGCCCCCATTTTGTTTGATGGGGTCAATAATGGAGGGGTCCCCTCAGATTATGTGTGGTCATATGCCTACAAAGTTGCGTGGTGATGGGTGAAACCCTTGAGATGTTATACACCTTTATGTGATGAGGCACGCCCTCCGCAATATTCATTGCCTTATAGAAGCTCAGTTTTAGTAAGTTTTCCAACTTTTGCCAAGAGGGAACTTTAGATATTGGTCCCTAGATTATGTTCACCCAGTGTCATGCAGATCGCTCAAACTTTCTAGGAAGAGATCGATTTTAAGTGTTTTTCAAAAAATTCAAAATGGCGGAAAATCTATATAACCGGAAGTTATGGGTTCTTGAGGCAAATGTGTTCCTCATGAGGAGAGGCATCTCTGTGCAAAGTTTCATGTCTCTACGACATACGGGGCATGTATTGACCAAGTCAGTGAGGAGAAAAACGTGGAACAGACACACACACACACACACACACACACACACACACACACACACACACACAGAGACAGACAGAGTTTTCGTCATTATATAGTAAGATAGATTCATTATCCACTAACGTAGTATTTTTAAGTAAACTAAACAAAACTATGCATGATGGACTTCATTTGCAAATACTGGAAGATATCCAAATTGTTCAAACCAAATTTCACCTTAAGTTCATGAAAATTTAACATTTCTCCATTACTTTTAAGTATATGACCCAACTCAGCAATATTTTTATCTAGCATGCATCATTGTTTATCACTAAAAGCACATTGGGGCATCGGTGGCTTGGTGGTGGAGCAGGCGCCCCATGTGCAGGGCTGTTGCCGCAGCGGCCTGGGTTCGACTCCGGCCTGTGGCCCTTTGCTGTGTGTCGCTCCCTCTCTCTCTCCCCCCTTCGCACTCGTCTGTCCTATCAATTAAAGGCTTAAAAATGCCCAAAAAATATCTTAAAAAAAAATCACTAAAAGCACATTAAGGCACATCTGTAACTGTACAGACTATTGAAGAATCACAGCCTATATACAATAAGCCACAACTTATAGATGGAAAACATGTGTCGATTTTTCCAAGAGATCCTTCACAACAGCTTAGATCATATTTTAATTACATACCTGATAGTTAACACATGTCAGTACAGGTTTTATGGCCTTTTTGTTGGTACACTATATAATAGCTTTTATGTCATTTTCAGAATCTATGTAAAACACAGTAAAGAGGGGCTTTTAGTTTGTGAACTTACACTTAGCTATGTACAAACAATTTGACAAAAATAATCAATAGATGTATTATACATGCCCTTTCCTCAAGTTTCCTGGCATAGGCAAAGAATCTGAATATAACATGGTCATAAAATAAAGCACAGTTTTAAAGTAGTCATAGATGGTAGGGGGGGGGGGGGGGGGTCCAGGCCCCTATTACGGGGTCCCCAAAGCTTCATGGGAGTGGTGTTTGTTTTTAGAAAACTTTTTTAAGATATATACTGTAAGCCTATATCTCAGCATTTCATCCATTCCTTGATAAAAACTAAAAGACATGTTTTTTTAAGTTTAGATTATTATACAATATATAAATCTGAACACAGATTTTTTTAAAGAAGCCTGTAAAGTATGTATGATTGTTAAAATATTTGAGGAAAATAATAATAATACTACAGATAGAGAATAGTATTAATTGTTCGACTGATGTTTTCTTAAAATTCCCCCTTAAAGTTAAGACTAGGTCCTTGTAAAGATAAAAGTTATTCACAGACCTTTAAAGAGCTCCTAAGGTGAACAGCTGTTAAGAGCAGGGAGGAGGACTTTAAGGAGTTTCTTAATCAGAGGAGAAAATGGTGGAAACACTAAGAGGTTGGAGAAATATCGTGTGTCTGTGGTTGATCTCATTGGAGATATTCACACATTTTCCACTCAATGCAGTTAAGCTTTAACACCAGAAATAAAATGATCACAACGCTAAGATATTTGGAAAACTGGAAGAAGCAACAGTGCAGCAGTGATGACTTGTGTCTGTCTCAACCTTCCATCAGCAGAGTGATCACACTAACAGTAACAACACTCTCACAGTCAGCACTTCATTTCATTTCCACTGGGTGTCCACACCCTGCAGGCTCACAAATGGGAGTGTCTCTGACAACCAATCACATCTGAAAAAAAGAAAGCATCATACCTAGCAACTGGGTCAACCACACCTCCTCACTGAGGTAGTTTTCACTCTTGCCAGTCATGATGGTTTGAATTTGAATATCCAATCATAATTTCAGTTTTTTCCATTTGTGGGTGTGACAAATTGTGTGATCTTGGGAAAACATGCCTGTTTTCTGTATAAAGTTGCAGTAAGACCTTCTTTTTAAAGCTGTATGCCTCTCCTCTAACCCCCAAAAAAGTCCCTCTCTAGTGATAAAAAAAATATTTGGCATGCCTCCACCTATTTGCAGCACCCCTCCCCTCTCATAAACAACAGACAATCCCTAAAATGAAATAAATTTAAAATAAAAAAGGCTTTTGACCCCATAAAATAAGGTTAAGATCTTGGGCATCTCTATTTCATTCTCTTTGGCAGAACCTGTGGCTACAGGATATAATTGCAGTATGTTCGTTGGGCATGAAACCAGGCTGGTGAAATTACATCACCTGGTTTTCGAAGTACTGCAGCCGACTAGACAGAAGCGGTTACCACAACGTCTATGTTTGTTTCGGTGGGCGTGCTCGTCACCACAAATACCCAGTTATTCTGCAGATGCTTCTATCAGTGCAACCACTATGTGACCTCATTCCCTCACAGTGACCTAACATTCACATTTGTAGAGGCCCAAAATATAAAATCTTATGTGTCCCATTTTGATGACCCCTCCATTATTGACCCCATCAAACAAAATGGGGGCACTAGAGAGGTAATTTCTTATCTAGGCCTAACCGCCATATAGATTTTTACTAAACTTGGTAGATATGTAGAACAGGACGCCTCAAGGTGACTGGAGAAATTTAACTCTAATTGGCAACTGGGTGGCACTATAACAACAGAAAAATGCTTAAAAATGGCTAAAATGCGACCGATCGCTGTGGCTCCCCCTGTGGACCAATGTTGTTGTTTTTTCTGATTTTTGATATGACTAAGTCATGGTATGGTATGCTGCACATAATCACAGAAACTGTCAGTATGTCATTCTGTCAGTCAGTCATTCTACCAGTGCGCCCCACTTTTAAGTCAATATAACATATAAACACTTTAACTATCTGCCTTTCAATGTGCTACCTCAACTACTAATGTACAGTTTTAGCCCACTAACTATCCCACTACTGGCAATGGTACTACTGTACTTTCAATAAAGCAGTCGTACAATCAAATTCACAAAAACTCTGTCTGAATACATTGCACTTCTTAATGGGTTCAGTTGACTATTTAATCTGCAATTTCCTATGACCTGTATCCCAAACACACACCATGTGAAACTGTACGTGGGCAACTGTGCACTCAATGGGTATGGACTAGTAATAGTAATAATAATAATAATAATAATAACAATAATGCATTTATTTTTATGAAGGAAGAAAACAAATACAATAAGACAACTTCAAACAAGTTAAAAAAGGTAAAAAGGTCAACTGCAGCAATTCACACACACAGTATACAGACATTTATAGAGACATGTACACACATATAATGGTAAATCCTAAAAGCTCAGCTGTGTCTGCTCTGAAAAAGGCTTATTATATACAAATATTTTATTCACATTTATTTTGCACTTGTGCATGCTACATCTTTTATCAAAAATAACTATGTTGATGCTTGTGGCAGACAATAAAATATATATACAACATTTTTTTTTCCATACTCTGAAATGACACACAGTGTAGAATAATGCAAGAACACTAATGGTTAATTTCGCAAAAAGGCTCAGATGTCGTCCATGTTCATTTTTTCTAAAAAGTAATCTGATTCTGAAATGGTAAGATGTTGTACGAGAGCTTGACACGCTCAGGCCAACCCTTAACACAGTCAATATCTTTTTCTCACTTCCTTTGTCACGTTGTCTCTTATTTTTTCTCTCTCTCTGTTCTTTCTCTTTATGCCGTGGTGTGTCGCGGCATCAAAGACACCTTGCTGTTTTCTCTCACCGGACCTTCGAAGGTGCAATGTGCCGAGTACAAACTCTCTTTATGCTCCATCTTCATTGAGTCCGCGCTACTATGGCTCTGCAGATTCAATATCTGTCTCAGCTTTTGTCTGAAATCCTTGGAAGCAAAGTAGTAAATGAAAGGATCGAGGCAGCTGTTCAGGCAGCTGAAACACAGAGACAGTTTGTAGGCCATGTAGAGAGACTTCCCGTAGAAGAGTTTCAGCACAGCATGACTCATCAGGAGGATGTTGTTGGGAGCAAAGCACAAGGTGAAGACCAGGAGCACAATGACAGCCAGACGTATCGCCCTCTTTTTCTGGGCTGTCCTGGAATCTTTGGCCAGTTTGTGTATGACACTCAGATAGCAGAATGTCGTGATTAAGAAAGGGAGGAAGAAGAGGACGATCACCATGCCACCAACAAAGGCCACCCAGGCAAATTTGCTTGGGAGCATTTTTGTCTTCAGCATGTCGAAGCATGTGGTAATCCCGAGTTCAGGAACTTCAAAGGTCAGGTCTATCATCAGTGGGTGCAGAACGCACAGGACCAAACCCCACATGAGGAGGCAGCTGAAGACAGCGATGGACTTCCTCTTCCTAGTCTCTCTGAACCGCATGGGCCTGATGATGCCCAGGTAGCGGTCAATTCCGATGGCCATCATAGTCAGAATGGAACAGTACATATTGGTGTAGAAGACAAGGGTCAGGAAACTGTAGGTGGATACAGAGAAGAAGAGAGTTTTACTAAATGACTGGTTAAAGCTAATGATCATTAATGCAGCAGTGTGTAGGATTTAGGGGGATTTAGTGGCATCTAGTAGCGAGGACTGCACATTGCAACCAGCTGAGACTTCTCCCAGTAAGGATTCCTTCAGTGTATATTTTTCAGAAGGTTTTAGCGGTAGCTGAATTATCCACAGAGGTCTCTTTCTTCCATAAAGAAACAGACCAGGTGATTAAAACCAGAAAAAAAACTTATGCAGTTTAGCTCATCTGAGATGGGCTGTTAGCCCAGCACCTGTTAGGTATGCTCACATTTTTTCTCTGATAAGTTAACTACCAGATGTTCAGGAGGTTTTTATCATGAGCTGAATTATCCACAGAGGTCTCTTTCTCCCAAAAAGAAACAGACCAGGTGATTAAAATCAGTACAAACACTGAATAAAGCAGTTTAACATTAAAAATCAGTGTTTTTTCAATGCTGTTTGGAGATGGGCTGTCAACAAAGCACTCAGTTAGCTGTGCTCAGCTTTTTTTGTTTGCTAAGTTTTTATCATGCTTTCATCTGTTTGCGAGTCAGTCGATATGATGTGTCTTGCACTGTGCAGGGGCTTGTGGGTCAGAATAGCCTGAAAAGCATGCTGACATGCACACAGCAAAATGCGACTGCAGGCAGTAGAACATCCTGGTATTTTTTGGCATGCTGCATTTTACATATTATGCACTGGGACATAATACATCTTCTTCTGGCATACTAAATAGAATGGTAGTGTGGGTATTTGAATTCGACGTTGCCCACTGTGGAAGGTCGTTAACTACGGTGGCTGATGTGAGAACATGAGTGGCCCTATTTAGAGCTGGTGTTTGGTTTGTTCGTTCTGGGCAACTGTAGAAACATGGTGGTGCAACATTGCAGACATTGTGAACGATGACCTGCTCTCTGTGCAGATATATAAACGGCTCATTCCGGGGGTAACGAAACACAATGATTGTTATTTTCAGGTGACTGTACATTAAAGAAAACAAACCTCTGATATCATATTCCATTACTGCCAATGTATCCTTCTAAATCCTACACACTGGACCTTTAAAGGGAAAGATGAGACAATCAACACCACTCTGATCTGCCTCTTCAATATGATTAGGCTACAGTCACTCCAAGAAGTAACAACATCAACCTACAAGCACCTGTAAAGCTCACTAAGGAACACGTTAGTGTTATGGTTTGTTAAAAAAAAAATAGAAATAGAAATAGAAGAGTGAAAACTAACAGTTGTGGTTTTATAGGGGTTTTTGAGTTGGACAACATCTTTGCTGGGGGAAGTGAAGTCTTGTTGCCAGGCAACCAGTGGACTCAAAATGCATACAGGAGTCTAATCTGACCTTTTACCTTGAGTTTTTCACACTAAGGTTTTCACACGCTGTTTGTTCTAAGAAACACAGTGTTACATTTCCACATTAACAAATGGTTTAGTTAATCACACATTCACTGTGCTCAGCTCTCAGCTGCTCTGCTGCTCTGTCTCCTGGGACAGAGTGCCCGGAGTGTGCTCTGCTGCTCCGAAAGAGTGGTGTTCTGAATAACTGAACGGTTCCAAAAACACTCTGAATTTCGGAGCACGACCAGGCAATCGGTCTGGTTTGTGCCAGAGTGCAATCCAGCACTTGGAGTAGTATTTCCGAATGCACCCTCTATCACAGAGTCTAGGGCATAGTTCGTAGCAAACATGACTTTGGTGTCACATTAACAGTTCAGTTTTGGTAAGGATTAACAAAATAAGATAGAACACATTAATTAGTGAGCTTTAAAGGTGCTGGTAGGCAGATATTGTTCCTTTTCCCCGTGTTTAAGGTTTTTATGCTAAGCTAAGCTAACTGCTGGCTGTACCTTGATATTGAACACAGACGTCTGAGAGAGGTATTGATCTTCCCATTCAAGTGTATTTCCTAAAATGACAAACTATCCCAACAGGTGGACTGTGGATGTAGCTGTGACAGTAATGTTTGGCCTGACAAACACAATGTGGAAAAGCAGAAAACTTAAATTTCCTTTGGATTTCTGCTGATCGATAAAAAAATACCTGCACATTTCGGGTCCCAGAGTCCAGTTGTATCCTTTGAGCTGGTAGGCGATCTGAAAGGGCAGGGCGCTGCCGAGGGCCAAGTCAGTGAAGGTGAGATTAATCATGAAGATGATGGAGGGGGTCTTGGGGGAGGTACGGAAGATGAGCAGCCACATGGAAAGGCCATTTCCGACCAGGTTAATGGCACTGACGATCATGTAGATGACAGAGATGGTAATGCTGGCCCTGACATTCTGAAACATTGCCAAGGTGGTGTTGTCTAGCTTGACGTGGCTGGAATTACCTGTCATGACTGGATGGGATCACCTGTGAGTCGGGGTTGAAGAGCGTTATGGTTTTTCACAATTTTCTTTCACTAAATAAATTATGTACATCATGTCAAAGAAGGTTGTATAGCCATGTAGTCAACACTTGGAGGGACCAAATCAGCGGGGAGGTGTGGCGGTCTTGTACCTACCCACAGCAGTCTACTAATAGCTTCCTCTGGTACTGCAGCACCACTCAGACAAACCACAGACACAACTGCTGTACACTGCAACACTAAAAGATAAAATAAAAATATAAATTTGTTTAGTTTATGATTTAATTACATTTGCTAATAATAATTTCAGACAGCAGGATGTGCCCCCCCGATATATAATATGATTACTGCCTTGATTTCATGCATTTATTTCGTAATGCTTGACTGAAAACATCATAAAACCTAAAACAACATACACCCATCACCTTATCTGAAGTGATGTGTGCCACAGATTGCAGTCTTTCCTCTTAATGCATGTGCAAAACTGATTGATCTCAAAGGTGTGAAACAGTCACTACAGTGTTCATATCAGCACTCCAGCACTCTGTGTTGTTGTTGGCGTGCAAGTGGCACATGTGTCGGGGTGGAGCTTTCACACAGGAAAAGGACATGCTTGATTTGTGGTGAAGAGTGCCAACTGTCGCTGTAGGTAGCTTGTGTACTATTGGTGCATGAAAATGTTTAGGGGGATTGGCACCTGGCAACGATCACATTTTAAACCGCGTCAGATTTGACATGAAACCAAACAGAATTTTGTCTTTTTGATTAGAAAGTTAACACTTCCAACTCAAGAAATACAAACACTTTCTTTGACACGTGGCGCACAAGGTGGTTTGGAGGAAGAGTTACCACAAACCAAATGACATGCTCAGTAAAGCGGCACTGAAATGTATGTAACAGAAAAGTACCTAATACTACAACAAGCCACGGGATGAAAACAACAGCAATGCACTTAACATAACATAGCAGGAAAAAATTGTGTTGCATTGATTACAGTCAGTGAACCGAGATTTTTGGGTGATGATGTGTTTATTTATTTAATAAATAAGTTTGTTAATTTGATCTATTTGCCATTCTTTCTGCCTGAATGTTTATTTGTTGCATCACACTAATGGAATCAAGCATTTTTAACCTGCTGTATGTGTATACTTTCAGTAGAGTGTACATTTATACTTTAATAACATACTAATCTGAGTGTACATTTATCTTTTTTGAATATGTCACATGTATACTACACTAAGTCAGATGTGTAGCTCTGTTGGCCACAGTGTGTTGTTTGTCTTTATGTGTTAAGAAGCAGAATAACAATATTATTAAAAAAAAAAAAATTAAAATAAAAAATGTGATCATTTTTCCCTGACAAGTTAAAAGTACATGCAATAAGTATTAAGCAACCAACACGTGGTGCTCTTTAGGTCCTTTTTAACTCTATATTTCAGATTTGAAAACATAAAAATGATCATAAGGTTAGCACTTCTCCTGATAAACCTCAGTAAAAGAAAGTTAAACACTCACCTATGAGGCAAACAAGACAGCAGGCAGGTAGGCACACACACAGTATGACGGTTGTAGATGGAGGCACTGATATTGTTACTGCTGAGGAAATGAGATTTGAACGTTTTACAATGCTGTAGAGAGAGAGGAAGTGGATCATGTGACTATTTTCATCCTACCAACTGCAGTTAACAGTAACCCATTCGATTTAGTCTTGGAAATGACATGTCGAAAACTCCCTGCAATGTGGGGGAATACACACATTTACTCATCTGCACGACTGCACTTTTCCCTCTCCTTGTGGTTCAAGAATCATCTCAACAATCTATGAAACTAACTCTGTACACGTGGCAGGGCTTGCCACCGTAATGGGCTTATAAGAAAGTTAAACATCTATGCTATTGAACGTCTTTGGAGTTAATGATGCACTAGAAGTGCCACTTTCACTTTTAGTCACTGTCAGACGTTTCTCTGCTGTGACTGAAACAGGAAGAAAAAACAAAGAGGTGTCAGAAAGAAAAACTGGTGGCATGTGCACAGATGCTGAAGAAAGAAAGACTGAAAGGGATCACTAAAAGAAAAGACTTGGCAGCCAGAGTTGAATCAAGAATTCAGTATATTTGGCCTGATTCTGGGGCGTCATTCATCCGAATCTCAGCTGAGTCAGGCAACCGGAGGTGGTCCAACTTACTTCTTCCAGCATGCCAAATTTGGGCCAATGCTGGGCCAGATCATTTTTTATAATGGCGCCTTTACAGTAGTGTCAACAGCCAGAATCAGGCCAGGTTATTTAACCCGATTCTGGGGCCACATTTATCCTGTGTCTCAGGCGAGTTGGGCCACATCCAGTTGCCTGACTTATTTCTTCGTGCCGAATTTGGGCCGATGCTGGGCCAGATAATTTTTTATAATGGCGCCTTTACAGTAGTGTCGGCGGCCAGAATCAGTCCAGGTTATTTAGAGCGATTCTGGGGCCACACTTATCCTGAGTCTCAGCTGAGTCGTACCACGTATGGTTGCCCAACTTATTTCTTTCAGTGTGAGCCAAATTTGGGCCAAACCTGAGCCAGGCCATTTTTGATAACAGCTCAGTAATGGCAGTGTCGGCAGCCAGAAGCGGGCCAGGTTATTTAGCCCAATTCTGGGGCCACATTTATCCCGAGTCTCAGGCAAGTCGGGCCACATCCGGTTGCCTGACTTATTTCTTCCGGCGTACCAAATTTGGGCCGATGCTGGGCCAGATCGTTTTTGATAATGGCTCAGTAATGGCAGCGTAGGCAGCCAAAAACAAGCAGGTTATTCAGCCAGATTCTGGGGCGTCATTCATCCACGTCTCAGACAAGTTGGGCAACTGGATGCAGCCCCATCTATTTCTGCTTGCCAAGTTCGGGCTGATGCTGGGTCAGGTCACTTTGGCTACCTGGGGATAGATAGATTTATATGACGCCAGGTCAATGGGTGCAAATATCCATATAATTACACACAGAAATGAAAGACACACAAAAGGACATTGTATTAGCGTGCTACTCTGAGAGACTATTTGTTAGCCATTTTACAAATGCTTAAAAATTTTCTCTGCTTTGATCAGTTTCAGAGAAACTGGAAGTTTATCTTATTTCATTTGCAGTTGTTGATAAAAAGGTGTTCTTGCTCTGAACTTTTGAATCTAAAATGAAAAAAAATCTGTCGAGTTACATCTTGTTGAGTAATTGTGATTGTCTCTGAAGTAATAAAGTAGTCGGACAGATATTTGGGGTCGTTAATATAAACAATTTTATGTGTTAGACCCAACTGGATCTGTGTAGTCTTTTAAGATGGGCACTAGGAAGTAACTTTGACACAACCCTGACTGACAGCCTAGCCCGACCTGATAACTTGTTCAGGGCAGTCTGGAGTTTGTTCTTAATGTGCTGTGTTGTACTAATAAACAGGAAGTGGCAGCAGTCAAAATGACATTGAACTGATGCTGCAGATCATGTCTTTAGTGTTGATCCATCCAACAACCCTGATTTTCTTACCAAGTATTAAGTGTTTTGGCAGATTTTAGTGAGGGCTTTCAGCGCTGTGGCCTTCATCTCTGTGGTCCTTCCTAGTTTTATTCTGGATCCAAAAAAGACAGCCTTTGTTTTCACTAAATGAAGAAACAGCTTGTTATCAGACAACCAAGTCTCAAAATTTTCAAGCTCCTCCTTTTCTCCCTGAAAATATATATAAATACACACACAAACATTTTGTGTTTCTGTTTTTAAGTGAAGTGGGAAGACTATACTTCAACCCCTTGTTCATGAGATTTCACGGGATGTGTTCTTGTGCTGCTGGTTTCCTGTTGATGACAATAGTTCTGCTTTATCTAGGTTAAAAGTATCACAAACTGTTAGTGTGATTATTCTCATTGATGCAACACAGCATTGCGAAAAAATACTGTTGTCATCCTAATCAAGTACAAAACATCAGTCACAGCAGGACTTTTTACAGTGTGAGCTCAAACAATATTTTCAGAGGAAAAAAGGTTGTTTTGTATTCAGTCCGCGGTGTAAGATAGTATGACGGGGCCTAGTACACACACACAAAAGATTAGTGCCACTTTAAGGTTCATCCGTTCTGCTTGTTAATGCAACTATCTAATCAGTCAATCACATGGCTGCAACTCAGTGCATTTAGGCATGTAGACATGGTCAAGACGACCTGCTGAAGTTCAAACTGAGCATCAGAATGGGGAAGAAAGATGATTTAAGTGACCTTGAACGTGGCATGGTTGTTGGTGCCAGAAACTGCTGATCTACTATGATTTTCACACTCAACCATCTCTAGGGTTTACAGAGGATGGTCTGAAAAAGAGAATATATCCAGTGTGAAAATGCCTTGTTGATGCCATGTCACAAAGCTCAAATCATCTCAAACTGGTTTCTTGAACGTGACAATGAGTTCACTGTACTCCAGTGGCCTCCACAGTCACCAGATCTCAATCCAATAGAGCACCTTTGGGACGTGGTGGAACTAAATATCTGTGGTGGCAGTCTGGATCTCTCACAAGGGCCTGTTCTCTGCCTGACACATTGCTGGAAGGCCCTTCCTCTTGCACTAACTATATCTACCCCCCTGGTTTTAGCTTAGGATTAACTGCCTTCAGTATCACTAATGAAACACCTACCCATATCTACACCCACAAGTGCTAAGTGTGTTTTCATACAATGCAAGCTATAATTGACTCATATCTGTAATTTGTAAACGTGTACTACGGGCAGTACTGCTGAAAAATGCTGCCTCACCCAAACTGTCAGACTATCACAATGACTGACACACTGGTTTAGTCTGTTATAACAGTACAAGAGCTTTATTTTCTCACAGCTTAAAGAAAAAATAAAGGATACAAGAGGTATGATAGACAAATGTTAGGTTGTGTGCAAAAATGATATAAGGCTTGTTAAACAGACGTCATCAGTATTTGTGGCTTTCATTTACATTTAGTCGATAGAATTAATAGAAAACCGTGCACACGGCATAGAAAATTTATGTATTTATCGGTGTCATACTTCGCAACTTCATTATCTCTAGGAAATGCTTTGTAGAAATGTAGAGAATGTGTTCTTCTTGGCTCATGGATGATCAAAAATGTCTCTTCTGTTGTATGACACCATAGAATAAGATGGACCAAGTGTAATGAGATGCATAAAAAACAGGAAAAAGCCGTACATCATCCTGTTTGTCAATAATAACCCTTATCCCCTCTCATTCGCTCACCTTCACGCACAAAAATACACACAATTTTCTACATCCACTATTTGTAAGTTCCACTTACATTATATTTCATTTTCATAAAATCTATAGGATTATTAAAAACATCCAAGTTCAGCAGAGTCTACAAAGGCTTAGTAACAAGATCTGGTGCAGAGGATGAGGTCATTGTTGAACCAGGAAGTTGCTGATGGATACCACAGGTGAGCTGCCGCTTACTGGGACACACTTCAAAGACATGATGAGTAAACAGGAAATGACACCGGGCTGCCTGACACGAACTGTTGTGCTATCATAACGGTAACTATTATTGTTTGCCCCTGTTCTTTTTCACGTGGTTTGTACCAAGGATTATTTGAACACTAAACAGTGAGGCAGATGAAATATTTAGTGTTTTCTAAAAATGTTCATGCTCCAGCAAACAAATACCTTATCCAACATTCAAAGCTCTGAGCTCTGTTACATCTAATAAACGACTAAAAGACTGTTTGATTCTGAAGTGCCTTTCTACCTCAGTAGAGTGTATTATTTTCACAATGATATCCTGCCAAACCTGTCACCATCAACGTAGGCTGAATAATTTATTTGTATTTCTATAAACACACAGACTGCTCACTGTTCCTCTTTGCTTTTCTCAAACCCTTTCTCCACCCCCGTTGCCATAGTGACAGCCTCGTAGCAGTGCTCTGTCCCAGGTTCAGGTGAGTGGCCCACGGGGATGCAGTCGTAGCCTTTGCCCGCTGAGCTCATGCGCTTCCTGTTGCGTGCGCCTGGCTGGTAGAGCTGCATGGCTGGACGGTCCTGCAGGGAGACAAGAGAGCAGGGACATGGGAGAGACAAGCAGCACACACTTTGAATATACATATTAATATACGTGTCACTCATCTTCTTTCGTCACGTATTCTTTTTATGAGTCACACAGGGCTTAAGTGTGTCCCAGCATGCACTGGGCTAGCAGCTACAGAAACCCCCTTTCAAAAGCTCCTGTGAACGCATGGTAGAATAATGACGACCTGATTCACTTTATTAAAGGGATAGTTTGGATCTTCTGGAGTGCGGTTGTATGAGGTAAGTGTATCACATAGCAGTAGATGTCAGTTGGCTTATTCCCAGTCTTGTTCACGAGTGAGGGTAGAATGGAGCGTGAGATGGATCAACGGTTTGGTGCGGCTTCTGCAGTGATGCTAGCACTGCACCGGACCATCGTGGTGAAGAGAGAGCTGAGCCGGAAAGTGAAGCTTCCGATTTACTGGTCCATCTACGTCCCAACCCTCACCTATGGTCATGAGCTCTGGGTAGTGACCGAAAGATTGAGGTCACGGATACAAGGGGCCGAAATGAGTTTCCTCCGTGGGGTAGCTGGGCTCAGCCTTAAAGATAGGGTGAGGAGGTCGGACATCTGGAGGGAGCTCGGAGTAGAGCCGCTGCTTCTTAGAGTTGAAAGGGGTCAGTTGAGGTGGTTCAGGCATCTGATCAG